TACTACTACTACTACTACTACTACTACTACTACTACTACTACTACTACTACTACTACTACTACTACTACTACTACTACTACTACTACTACTACTACTACTACTACTACTACTACTACTACTACTACTACTACTACTACTACTACTACTACTACTACTACTACTACTACTACTACTACTACTACTACTACTACTACTACTACTACTACTACTACTACTACTACTACTACTACTACTACTACTACTACTACTACTACTACTACTACTACTACTACTACTACTACTACTACTACTACTACTACTACTACTACTACTACTACTACTACTACTACTACTACTACTACTACTACTACTACTACTACTACTACTACTACTACTACTACTACTACTACTACTACTACTACTACTACTACTACTACTACTACTACTACTACTACTACTACTACTACTACTACTACTACTACTACTACTACTACTACTACTACTACTACTACTACTACTACTACTACTACTACTACTACTACTACTACTACTACTACTACTACTACTACTACTACTACTACTACTACTACTACTACTACTACTACTACTACTACTACTACTACTACTACTTACATTTTTATTTTTAAGATCAGGTGACATCATGGTCAGAATGCCTACATCGGGTATTTCGGCTAGAGTACCTACGAGCTATGACACTGCGTTTTACGCGAAATGATTACTAAATTTTCTATTTTTGTTTAATCCTTCATAACGTATTTTCGCCCTAATGTCAACAAGGCCGGACTATAAAGTCAGGGGGACGACTGTGCAAAGAATATAGTGAACCAAAATCAATATCGAGCAAAAAATTTGGATGCACAACTTCGATACCGATTGTGACGCAAGCACTAAAAATGTACTGAATAGACCCGTCGTAGTTCTGCTCCGATGGCTTTCGAAGTATTATTCTTCAATACTGCAAGTCCGATGGCGCGTCAACAGAGACAATCCATTTAGCAAAGCAGTGTCTTGGAGACGTATAGTGCGTTTTTAAGTTACGTACGAGGATCTTTCCGCTTTTAACAGGTAAATAAAAACGATATATTTCAAATTGTTTTCTGCATAGAGCTCACACGAACATGTGTATATATATAACCAAGACTATTACTCTTTAAGTAGAGACAACTATCTTTTTTGGCATCGTCACAAATATGTACGGCATTTATAAGATACACTTCTGTGCAGACGTTTAGCAAAACTTTAAAAATCTGCATACCGACAACTGAAACCAATTCTGCTACCTTGGTATTATTGGAAATGTCAGCTGCCCATAGAAGTAATTCGGAACAGTCGATATGATCGAAACAAAAAAAAAAAAAAAAAAAAAAACAAAGCTGATGATATTTCCTTAAGGATGGAGTATTGAAAAAAACAAGAAAAAAAAAAGGGGAATCAGCTACCAAATGGTCGTCTAGACCTTTTTATGCAGTTAGCCTATATTAGATATAGGCTAACTGCATAAAAAGGCTAAAGGAATAAAATGTGAGTTTTTTTATTTTTGAGGGCCATTTCCCAAAATGCATGTTATGTGGATTAGTAAAGCATTGATGACCTAAGCTGAAACGACTGGCTGATGACATTAGGTTTACATTTCCTTATGTTCTCGATGAGAAAAGCATATTAATTTACCACGTCTTAATGCCTTAGTATATAGCATATCCAATATGACCTGTTAAAGGTGAAAAATAAGCAATTTGATTCAGAAATTTTTGTGTAATCCAGCAGAGTTAATTTTCATTAATTGAATAAGCGACGAACAAGGACGCATAACTTCATTCTAAAATAACTTCATTGAATTTTGGTCGTAACATATCGTAAGCGTCTTATTATCATCATCAGCTTTTAGCTATTTTCAGTAATTAACAGTAGAAAACAACGAGTTTATGAGTCCATTCAGATGTGCGATGTCTCAATTGTGCCAATCATGCCATTAATGCTCCATGATAGTATACCTTTTCAATCCAACTTGCCTGTTAGCTGCAATTTACAAATCAGCCCTAAAAAAGACATTTCAATTGCCGAAAATCGTCGTAGTCGATTACAAAAGACGTACACTGATGAGCTCTGCGAGAACTCATCTGCTCCACGGGAAGAATTCCACGAGCGCTAGAAGCAAGCAGTTTGTTTGCTTCTAGCGCTCATAGAAAAAAAAATTAGCGAATGCCGCGACGAAAGCCCTTAATAGATTAATGATATTAAACTTCATGTCAATTCTTCCGTGAGATCGATTCGCACTTTGGATTTATAGGCTCTATCGATATTGCCATAATGGAAATATAAAGTAGATAACAAAAACTCAGTAAATCTTAAAGGGAATAGAAAATGATAGCTAGGCGTTACATTTTCTCACTTGAAGCTAAATTAAAATCCAATTCTGATAAAGATTTCTGGAGTTATTTCAATGAAGTCCTTGTCTCTATCCGGTCTGGTTTAGCATTCAATTAATTTTCTTGATTTTAAAAAATTAACATGCACATTTTTCATGAATTCATGAGAAGATAAGAAAAAGCTTAACTGAAAGGCACTCTTAAAGACAGCGAAATGGCACTTTTCTGTCAGAGTCGATGATTATCGCCCGATTTGTCGTTGATGCTATACTTTCCAGTGGCTCGAGGAAAGCGTAACACAGAAACCAAGTGAATTGCTTATTATTTGAATGCTCCTTTAAAAATGCTCTGTTCGATACGACATTGATATTATCCCTCGCATCCAACCATAAACTCCGAGACCGTTCGCGTGTATCTAGCTGGCGTCTTGATTCACTACTTCATTTAGGCTGATCGTTATACAGAAAGTGTACTACATCTAGTCTACAATCGATCTAGAACAAACTGGAGCATTGTTAAACAGAGCTCACTAGAATTGCGAATCTTATACTTCCTAAACATCTACTTAAACAGATAGATACCTTAACATTACACGAATGCTCAACACGACACGATCTATTTGGAAACTTATTTTTATTACAAACGCTGAGATCGATAATTTTTACCGATATCTGGTATCATACAGAGTTAGCTAATAGGCATAAAGCAGTTAGCAGAGAAAATTTCTATGTTAAATTTAGTAACTCTATGTTACTCGTAAACATGAGGCCCTCAGTGGTTAAGAAACGGTTCCATGGTTGTGTTGAAATCCCCAGACAAATTCAGTAATATCTACCCTGGCAAAGTTTTTGATGCCATATCGACCGGGTGATTTCGAGGACCTGTTAAAACAGTAGTCATGGTCAAAAACGCTAAAAAAGACTGTTGGCTTTTTTATTTCGTTATGTGTCAGTTTAATAATTACGGCGATTTCAGATGTAGTGTATCCCATGACCTTTTCAACTGAGAAAAAAGAGCAAGAAGGAAAAAGAGCTGAATAAACTTTGTTCGATCAGAATTTTTCTCTCAAATCAATTGAGAAAAATTGTGTCTCAAGCGTATTAAGGCACCGTTTGAATATCTTTGATGATAAGTTTCTAAAGCCAATGATATCATGCAAAAGGTGGCAACACTATGAAGCGTGTCAACAAACTACTTTACTAAAACTTAATGTTCGCCTGTAGTTCTATTTGTAGCATGACAACTTTATCCACTGTTATAATCAAGCTTTGGAGCTGTTCTAGTTGTCTGCGTTGCCTATCGATGGCATTGGGTGTACACCATGTGATACTGTTGCCCGGTCCACCACCTGCTTAATTACTTGGTTTGGTTCAACCTGCTGCCGCGTTGTTCGGCCTGGCGCTACGCTACCCAGCATCGTACCTGTATACATGGTTATGTTTGGTAATGTAAAAGTTGGGAACCGTGTATTTTCATCGGAGTGTGCACTCACTGAACTGTATTCATGTTAAAAAAGAACAAGCATTGTTTTCTTTATCGCATATATGCATAATACCAACTATGCGCTTAATTAAAATAGCCTCAGTCATTATGAGTGAATCACTAAAAAACTTTCTAGTTACCTATGTATATATAGGCCATCAATGATAGCTGGAACGGCAACTACCACTAACATCACATAAGTAACGACGACGCGAACCGAAAAGAAAATTAGCTTTTATTTTATTTATATATATATATAAGTGAATTCATACGCTGGTGGGTCTGGTATAGACCCAGCCGATAAAATTTAGAGCCTGATAGAAGTGAATAGTGGATGTTTACGGATTTTATTTTCGATTAAATCGATTTTATAGTGTTAAAGAAAATGTACTTAGGAGATACGTTCCTTAATCAGGAGATACGTTCCTTAATCAACAATGCAATGGCCAATTCACTGGAAGTGAGCCTTAGTAACGGGCAAGTGCTGTGCACTAAACGCGATATTACTCTCCTAGCCTGCGGGCAGTCTGCTGCAATAATACGCCCAAAGGAAACCTATTAATTTTCTCAAAATATTCTAAATTCATATTTTTCTACCCGCCAGTAACGTTTAAACATATGTTAAGCTTGAGGGTAAAAGCAATAGTCCGCTATAACTATATTGTATTTTGCTTACGGCAATTCTTTGATGCAAAGGGTCATACAGTTTTCTCTAAGACGTAAAACTACAAAAAAAAAACCCTATCGAATAAACTTAATTCTGGAGTCCACGTCTTGCACAGCCTTAAACATACATGGATGGACGCAAGCAGATTTAGCGAAACATATATATATATATATAAGGATTTTAAAAAGCACGCAGAAGTTCTAGGTGAGTACCAAGCGGCAAGACCTTTTTTACTGGTTCTAAATTAAAGGAATACAGAAATGCGTGTATTAACGATTTGGTAGAAGTCTTTGTCGCGCACTCTACGTTCTGCTTCCGCGATAACTAGTTTGTACCGTTCGTGAAGGGTAGGTCATAACAAAAATGATAATATTACTAACAACATTTGGATTTAACAATTACCTACGCTGTCAAAATTATATTATATCGTAGACCAATGCGAAACTGTAACATTGACATAATGAAAACACCGATTTCATCGAAACAGGCACAGAACTATATTTTTGTGCTAATCTACCGTTTCACACATATTTTTTTGTTATTATGATTATATATCTTAAAGCACAGAGTGTACCGAAAACGCGCAGGGTCATTGTATCTAAGCTCCCTTTACTTTTCAAATAATCTGCTCGATGTCCATGAACAAATGTCCATTGTTTTTCTTTACTTCGCCGGCTTTCAAGTTAAATCGTCTTATAATTTTCTTTATTTGCTAACGGAACTCCCTTACGAGTGTTGATTTGCAACTGTTAGCATGCTGCCAACATTCCTCTCTCCGTGACCATCACACGCAAATTCATAGTAACCATATGATTTACGGCTGGTGTGCAAACAAAGTTCTTCTGCTTTCTGCCTTATCGGTATCGCTTCAAAGGCACTATATAATCAATTTATGAGTCGCATTCGAAAAACCATAGCTTAGAACTTTTATGTCAGGAAAGTCAACATGGGGATCCTTGAGCATATCTCCGGATTCGAATATTTTGTCTGTGCAGAACGTGCTTATAACATCGGTACTATCACCGTTTGAACCACAACCGGGACGTCAGGTGTGGGCAAGGTATGAATACCTTTTATGGCCTTTAACTCTTCACCAAACAATACTGACTTCGTGTCATGAAACTGTCATTGCCAAGTAATAATTATGAGCTCATCAAAATCTATTGGATAAAAATCCAGGCGGTGAAAATGCAAACGCGGTAAAAAGCTTTAGTTTTAAATATATGTTTCTTGTTGTTTATCCTACAGCGAAGTAATGAATCGCAATAATACGACTGAATCTTGTGATTGATAACAGCGGTATTCTGTCAAGTGTTTGAAATCGTAATCACATAAACATCTAAAAAGCTGCCAAGCTACTCGCGTTATTTCCAACTTTCAAAACATTTCGTTTGAGAATACGGAACAGTTTCATCTTCCTGATATTTTTGGTAGCTATGCTTTGAGTACCATTACCGAGCTTCTCAGTTAATAGCGCCTAGTTGTCTGCCGTAACCAACTCAAGAGCGCCTCACTATACGTACCGTTGAGGCAATTGAGCAGATTCGAATAAAAACGAACGTGTGTTAAGCGTCTCGCCAGAAAAAAACGATTGAATTTATATTTTAAGTAAGAGTTGCATCAGATCTCGCTTTATTTCGGATAATCTTTTTTCAGCTATTACAAGTAATTAGCAGTGCCTACCAGCACAGGACCTAATCATTAATTTAGGTCGCGATTGTTCGTGTGTCAGATGCTTCTAGAAGGACTTACATATAGATTAGGTAGGCAATACAGGAAGCAGTCGCTCTCGCAACTTCGGGAACAATAGTCTGTTCGTGATAAACGAAGGTCATCTTGGCAGATTCCTTCACCGACGCTGCCACCCTCGGTATCTTGTGGGGTCGATATGTCCGAATCTTATGATACGCAACTAATCTCGCCATTAATCATTATCGAAACCAATGCCATCGCTGGCAGTTGCACTACTGCCCTCTCCGTAACTGTGCCTAGAACGTCAATGACGGTCTTCAGCTGTGTGGGATTGTCTAATACGATCTCATCGACTTCCTCAGTCTGTAAAATCACTCCGCAGTTTCTTGTAGATTCAAACATTTTCTCAATTCCAGACTCGCCTGCAAGAGCTTGTACGGGAACTGTTATTCCCGGTACGCTTTTCAAAATTTTATTGATTGCCTTTTGTCGTAAAGTTTGCTGTACACCGTTTATTCGGCCGACATTTAGGTCCTCTTTGAACGTACTTGCCTCCTCAGATAGGATCGCATCAATGTTATGCTCTAGAAGGTCGTTATTACTCGGATGAAAAGCTAATGATACATCAAGAAGACGATGTGCCTTGTTAACGTGCGTTTTTAAGTTGGCCTTTCGTGCAAACCGCATGTTACAGGTGGAGCACTCAAAAGGCTTTGCGTCAGTATGCACAATCATGTGCTTGGTCAAGTTGCTTAGAAAGCGGGTAGCGTACGCACATCTGAAATTGAAATTACAATAGAAATCACGTCTTACGTGGATTTCTCGACACTCGCATGGGTAGGTCAACTTCACAATGCAACATATCATTAGTTATCATAACGATATATTTAAAGTTATTTCACACTATCCAGCCTGCAAAAACATTACTATTTATTCAAACTTTAGTTTTTGCTATTGTTGAATGTGCTTAGAAAAACATTTTACAATACGTTACATTTATTACCTGGCCCGAGGTCTACTATAATGCCGAATCGCATTATCAAAACGCCTAGTTAATTTAGTCGACCAATTTGATTAAATCTGACGATTCTACCCCTTCCGCAAATCGTCTTAGAGGTGAGACAACTCATTAATGCAGCCCTTCCGGATGGAAATTTTAATATGCCCTTTATTGGCTAGCGAATGAAAGAAACACCACTACTTTCCTTGCTTTGTTGCACATAATATATTTAGATGCTATGATTCGTGAAAATTATGAGAAGAACCACCTTAAATTACGAAGCCTGAACTCGACTTCAATATGTTGGTGCTTGTTTTTACAAAAATGCATTCGAATAGATTAAATAAGCGCTGCAGAACTTGTTCCTAAATGACATACGTATTTCTTCTTTTGTGTTTTTTTTTGCTATTTCTGATGCCTTGCATGTCCGAGTATTTTTATATGACGCACCCATCGGCAAAGTCTAAAACAACTTCTACTCTTGGTACCTGTAACTACTAACAGAGAAACCCATTTTTTCCGGTGCTTCGGTACATTGTTATATGTTGATATCAAAAAGTGGATATACAACACTGATGGTTGTGCAAACATGATGAAGTGAGCGGCCTCGGTGCACGAGCGTGGAAAAAACGGCGAGAAGGAAAGTCTCTCAGCTGTATTACATTGCACTCAGCAGAAGCCTGTTACGTACATGAGGCAAGCAGTAATATGGTACACAGACCCGCATAAACAAAACACTAAAATCGAATATTGATTCACTCTAATACTAAATACAGAATTTCACGTATATGTGAAAAACCTGCCCGGCAGAATTTAAAAAACCTGAGATTTATGTAGAAAATGAAAGCAAAATACCAGTTCACATACATCAGAAAATGCCGAAGTTGAAGTCGGCCCTAGAGATCCTCGTTATACGTAAAAGAGTCTAATTTGGTACTACAGATTTGATGTGATAAAAGCATTCAGATAAACCGAATTGATTGACTTCAAAAATGTACAATTGGGCATAGCAAAAGTAGAACTAGTTGCACATTAACCCGTTTTAATGTTTACCTTTGAATTCTAGCTCCCCTTAGATTAACAAAAATGTAACCTGTTCTAGTTCTTGGCGTTACAAAACTACATGTTTGATTCGGGCCACAATCTAAATTGCGTACTATTATCAAAAAAATATTAAATAATACAAGATATTTTAAAAAAATCATTCGCAGCTACCAACTTCTAAGAAAGATTTTTGCTCTACTTTTTTTTTTCGTTCAGATAAAGTAAATACGCCCCATACGAAAGGAAATCACCTAGAGTTTTATGCACTTTACGGAAAGCATCTAAATATAAGTGTCCATTCAAATGTTCGATACGCTTACCGGTCACATCGGTATGGAGTGGGGTCCGGCGAATGTACGACCCGATGTATGGCTAAGACGCGTCTGCTAACGACCGCCAATCCGCACGTTTCGCAGCGGAAAGGTCTCCGCCGTTCGTGCACCTGCAGCGGGTATACGAATTACTTGAACGGTTACGGCTACGACAGCAACCTGAACGGTCGTGCGAATCTGCAGCTATTAACGGGAGACTCCATCATTGAGCAACCAACACTACAAAACTACGGCGCTTGACAGTTACACAGTATCTTAGATTTAATGATGGCAGAGGCAATCCGACAAGGCCATAAAGAAACTCTGTCGATGAGCGGGTCGCAGATAGCTTTTGGACAGCATTGATCTACACTTGTGACAATTATTGTCATTGCCTCATTTCATCCAATGACTAAAAAATGCGTACTTGATTAAATCATTCTACCATACGCTTGGAAACATGAGTCGATTTCTTCGAAGCAATGTTGATACGCTGTTGTTTAGCTGTTCAATGAATTTCGGTATTATGCGTGTCTTCATTTGGCTCACCTTACGCACGAAGTAGTAGCGTGAAGTATAAGAAAATCGTGAATGTACAGCCAGCGAAATAGTGAAATACCCACGTATATTGCCAAAGTGTCTTAAGCAATACGAATAATTAGTCGTCTTATCTTTCGTTCTCTAAAAATAGAAGCGCTTGTTTTATACTTCGCTTTCTAGGAAGTTCAAAGTGCTCCATTGTATCGTGAGACAGTAGACAGTTTTCGAGATATTGCAATTTCATTACTGTGTGCTGCGAGCTATATGGTTCGAATCACTCCTGTAGAGGGAGGAGGAAGAAAGGATTTGTAATGCCAACCACTTTATTCATGCCTATGCCTTATCCTATCTATTTTTGCTATCCACGGTATTATTTAACTTGCAGCGAATACTAGTTTACATATGTATGAAAAGTCCAACTGTTTCGAAAAAAACGCCAACATTTTTATGATTTTCTATGCGTGAGATTAATGAGAAAAAAACTATGGCGAGAATAACATGTGCGGGAAGTACTAAGCTCATTTATAAAGCACAGCTATCTAACAAATCTATGGAATTGTCGTGTTGAGACAGAACGCCTTGACATTTATCCGGATCTCACCGTACTTACTTGCTCCTCGTGGTATCGCACAATACAGCGGGAACGAGCTCGATACTCGCAACGTGAACAACGCCAGGGCTTTGGATCATCATGAAGTCGCGTGCAATGAATGCCCATTGCTTTAGCACTACCAGTCGCAAATGGACAAGTAGCGCATACGAAGAGCGGGCCTGTCGCCTGATCCGGATTGAAACTATGCACCAATTTCAGATGACGACGAAGGTGTTGAGGTAAACGACAAATATAAGGGCAGTGTTCACAATGTACACTTTTGGCCTCGTGTGTCTTCCGGTGTCGCCTTAAGTTCTGACGAAAGTTGCAACGGTATTCGCACCGGTCGCACTGGTACACTCTATTGCTCTCGGTTTGCATCCTGCAAGAATTTCTTCTTGCACCTTCTTTTCAACTTAGTGTTAAGCTGAGTATGATGAGAGAAAATGTACTCCGTTGCGAAACACCGAATGTGTTCTCGCATTAGTCAAATTCGATCCGAATCGCCAGAGATAGAATTTGTATCAGATATCTACGATTTACCAGTAATGAATAAGTGTATGATTTGGTTGAAGGTCCATTATATTACAGTGCACTTGAGCAGAGTTCCTGTGTTCATTTAGGCAGATTTAGTTGTAAACTAGCAATACATTAGATGCAGACTTCAATTTTTGAAATCTCAAGCAGCTCAGCAGGGCATCGAGTCTGAAATCGTAGACTTCCGGCTGGATTAGATGTTAAACAGAGAACTTTGAAAGCCGAATCTCGTTATTGAAGTTGAGGAACCACGTCGCCGGATAGATTACGCGCGGTTTCACCTCGTTCCGCTATTTCGTTGTCTTCAGGCTGCCCTCGCTCGCCGGATGTCCGGATCCCTCCCTATCATCTTCCCTTTCCGCAGCAGGCGGGGCTTAGGCCAAATATGTGACAGCCAACGTAAAGCATGCGCCTAAACAGGCTATGGAACTCGGAAAGTGCACTTTTATCCGCTTTTGATCAGTCCTACTAAAGATCGGACGATATATACATCCACTTGAAACTAACTTCTATTATTGCGGTACGTTTCTGATACGTGACGTTTTCGGGGCCCTATTTTCAAACAGATGGTTTTTTTCAAAGCTTTTCTTCGCTATTATCCAGTGCTTAATTATAGCTATTTTTATAATTATTTTATGTACAATGCGTACACGCTATACCACGGTTTCGACATATGGAAGTTTCACACCTTTCCTTTTAAAAGATAATCTTTGCGTCCTTTTTTTTGGTCTTTGAATTATTATGAGCTTTTCTCGTCTACTATACTTCAATCTTATGATATTTACGAGCACGGAGATAAATTCTGTGAGAATTCCAGTATATCCTTCGAAGTAGGCGATTTACCGTAACCTAAACCACGAACTTTTAAACCCACCAAATTTCGCAGGCCAATAGGCTTATAGAATACATGTATTGCAACGCAGTAATCTATAAGAATATTCTAACGAAGTAATAATAGACAAAGAAATTACCCAATGCGTGTACATATTGGCACAGTGATCTGACCGAAAATGAAGTAAATTTTATGGCTATGAAAGGCCTTTGCGAAAGAATCCTTTTACCTGTAGGCAGCAGATGGCACGGAAACAATGAGGGACTAGTTGCAGATATGGCATTTTCCAGCTATAGAAGTATTCATATATATTATATAATTCATATCGAAATAGTTCTATATGAATACATCTATTGATTGCTGAAGCTGGTAAACGCCAATTCGGTGCAAGCGTTAATGGGCTTGTATAGCTGAGTACGAGTTACCGATACAACGGGCAGACTCGTTTAGACCCCGTGACTTACTACTTGCAGCCTTCAAAGGGCTGTGGGAAAATGTTTTGTAGCCAGAGTACGCGACAGCGAGTCGCGTGGAGGAAGATAGCTTGTAACCGATTTTTGCTCGTGTTAACCAAAGACCTACTCTGGGGATGTTACTACATAGTAACTTATTATAGCTATTGTTACATTATAAGCAAATATGTGGTGATTTGTTAAGCAGCCATACATCATTATTTTATAACGTCAGTAAGCAAATGTTTGCGTAATGAAAGATATCAATCATTTTGCGAAATTGATAGATAGGTAATAGACAAATACGACGAGATTCAAACTCTTGTAAGACGTAAGAAACTTTTTGCTTTCCGTACATGTATCCCATAAATAATGGGGGTTCGTACTTAAGGCGAAAAGGGGATTTAGATTACGTATAGATGACTCGAGCGAAACGATTGTTGTACCAACTGGGTAAGTCTTCAATAGTTACTTTGCAGCGAACGCATTCATTAGAAAACCATTAAAAAAGTACATCTTTTGCAATCATACAAAGGTAATCGTCCCTTAATTACTTTGCATAAACGTCACAAAACCAAAGTTGTTTATTAGGCCAGCTGTATGGCTTTAATCTTGATGTTCAATTGGCTGGAGCATGACTTCGTCTGAATTTAAGGTTTTATATTCAGATTTACATAACTAGCTATTATCTACAGTTTACACTCCTTGATGAATCATTGCTAAGGGTAGCAATTAAAAAATAATCTCTCTACAACTCGATATTTCCTGCATATACTTGAATTATAGCTAAGTGATATCATACTTGCCCTACGCTATTTTACTAGTTTGACTAAAAGGTGAAAAGAGCATCTGTCAAGCAAAATGTATCTTTTTACTTCTAGTTCTCGACAGAAAATATCTGTAAATACTAGTAGAACCTTGTAAAAAATATTTGAGCCGTACGAAAGGTCTCAGGTAGTTAACACTCAGCTAAGGAGACAGTTCCACATGGAGCATATAAGCTTTTCTATACCAACATTTTATAGGCAGATTTCGTAATTCTTATGTTGCATAGTTTTGACTGCAACAAAATACTAGAGCGTACTCTAGTTTTCCTTAATACTTTCTCTATTAATTGGATTACTAGAGTATTTTCATGCTAAACGTACCGGACTTTCACAAATATCCGCCCGGCCGTCTGTTGCGTTTGGTACAGAATGCCATTATACTGACGTTGCTTGATCTTGTGAGATCCTAATAAATATGCTAATATTGGCCTGACCCATGCGAAAAGTCTCTCAATAGTCATAAATAGTAAAATTACTCCATAGTGAAGAAATACTACGCATACTTCTGGATTATAGCTGAGTGATTTTGTCTTCGCCCGGATACAGCGACCATTTATTCGTTCACTATCTTTCCCGTCGAATATTTAAGCCACTAAACAGTTTTGTTCGCTAAGCGAATTGTTGGCCTAGCTCATAGGGTTTTCCGTGACCTGACGGCCACTTAGGTCGTCGGCCTGCTGTTCATTATACAGTAGCGAGCATGTCCTTGCAATATCCATTACATAAAGAACAAAATGAATTTTTAAGCGTTTAAGTTGGAACATCTTTATTGTTCAGCGACCCGTTTTAATGAATTATTGCTCGTCCAAATTTAGTCATGCGAGTTCACGGAACCGCACATGCATATACATTTCAATTACAACACATCTATAATGTATATAACGTAAGTTGTAACTGACAACATATGTTAGATATATTTTTGTTTATATAGTTCTTGTTTTTCATCACTTCCTAGAATCTTGCAGTTACCTCTGCGTGAGCTGTCCCCGTCTTATGAGCTTATGTCAAGACTTTTTCAACAACGACGAGTTTTTTAAAGCGAAGTGAAAATGTCTGGGTGTTTTTCTCAAAGTTTGGCAATCAAGCTGAAGCTTGCCCACGAAAGTTTTATCGGCACCGCAGCAAAAAGATAGGTCGATAATTGCTCAGTGATAGCACTGTCGCTTACAACTTTCAAGCCATATATTCTAAAACTTGTATTACCGAAAAAAATTAAAAGAAATCGAGCTTAACTTGCGCATGGGCACTCGATTAAAACTCACAGGATTAGCTCACTATATGCCAAAGGAGATCCATCGCGTGACCTAAAAAAACCCTATTATTAAATGCCTGTTAAAACGATCGTTGAGTATACATAGTGGCAAGATAGAGTTGAAAAAATCATTATTTGTTTGCCTTTGTGTCAGTCATCACTGTTAATCACTTAAGCCCTATGTTCTTCAGGCGAAAATCGCAGAAACGATTAAGCATTAGAAGGATAATCTTGAATCAAAACTGTTGGTCAATTCTTTGTGCTCCTTTTCAAGATGTGTCTAAGGCAACAAATGCCAAAAGAAATGATTGGCTGTGTCGTAGAAAAATTAATGGTCTCTTTCGAAGCAAATAGTTAGCGCGCCTATTGATCCCAATGATAGCAGTATCACATGTACGACCCTCTAATGACCTAGTGTATAAAGCCTAAGGTGCGGCCTGAGCGCAACTTTCATGCCTTCCTGGCTTTTAGGTGACGTTTCAGGTTGGCTTCCAACCTCACAACAGGTGTGAGTGTTGAAGCAGAGCACGGTATGCTGTCGACATCGCCTACTTCATTCATATGAGCGCTACCGGTATATGTAAGTAGAGAAACATCCACCGAAATGTAGGCACAGTGGGTTATCATATATGAAACGTCGGGGCTAAAATGATTTAAAAGAATGCCGTGGTTGATCTTTTCTGTTACATATAATTCCATATGTTGTTTAACTCTAACTATCCTTTGTACGCATGTGATGCAGTTGATGAAAAAGTAGTCGACAAGTAATTTTCTTTCGGTAGGATAGGGTAGTAAGATATTTTTCCCACGGAACTAAAAAATTCAGGACGAACGATTTGTATGCTGTATTTGTATGTATTATGCTTAATACACAAACCAATGTTATAGAGGGATACTATTTAAATTACCCAGACAAAGCCGAGCGAAACACGGTAATTTACGGTTGTTTTCGTAGTTGGTCAACCCATAGAACAAATATCAGATTTACCTCATTGTGCCTAATGCGGGCTGAAAGAAAAGACCCGTTAAAAATTCGTCAAAAGTCACAGGGAAATTTAGGTATGCCAGCTTGGGATTATTGTCCCTTATAAAGAATTGCAACAATCGTCTATTAATAGACATTATTAATAGAATAACAGAGATCGTTAGCGGTTATTGGATGAGTAACTTTTGTAAGTATTTGTTAACCTATGATGCATCTATGTGCTGTGTGCTTCGATATCGCCAGAGTGATCCAAGTGACCCTTGATTGACCTTATGCAAAGGCAAAAACCGAATAAAATCACAGACGACACTTGTACTCAAGAGGAGAATAGAGTGTGTTTTTCCTATGTCGAGGCATCTATACTTATATAAAATCACTGACACTCTACGTAACGGTATGAAACCACATGTCTTCCAAGCGTTTGATCAACTGGACTTACACAAATTTCGAAAAGATTTCACTGCTCCAATGCAAGACCACGATAAGAAATTCCATTAAAAAGGTTGTTTGTCATATGTCCTAGCGTCACACCTGTCATGTGTCACTGGCGGGGTTTAAATCATTACAAAAGACGCTTCATAATTTATTCATGGAAAATATCATTCAGTTAAAGTCAGGCGTCGCATGTTCGTTTTGACACGCAGCACCCCTAACCGCAGACTTTGAAATGAGAACGGGGGAGACTGATCTGACATCCTGGCAGTCTGAGTAGAGCTTTAATTGACGTCAAAGGAAATAATGCTGCCTTGCAACCTGACTTTAGCAACTCAGAAGCGCTCATCGACGGTTTCATTTAACTCGATTGTTAGAGGGCTCTGACGTTATGTGTTCGTTGGTACCAAATTTCATAATAGTGGCTATAAAAGAGCATTTCTTTATTCAGATTGATAA